GACGTATTTTTTCCATTAAAACAGATAAACTTTTGTTATAAGCTTGCCTGTAAATAATTTTGTACTTCTCTTATTTAATATGTGCATAAACAATGAAAGTTCAATTTGTTCCTCTCCTTTCTATCTAAGTTGAAGCTTATTAATCTATCACTATCGTTATCACATAGAAAGAAACCAGTAAAAACTAGTTTCTTGATATTATAATATTCAATTGCATAGTTTATAATTTTATAGCAAAAAGCTTAGAAAAATTATGAAACTCCTAATTATGTCCTAATTATGAAAAAAAAACTACGAATGATTTAAAAGAAGACATCAGGAACCCACACCTATGCCTATTGTAAATTTAAACAACTTTAATTATGTATATAAGCTAAATATAAAAGAGGCAGGTAGATAATAATTCATTTTCTCTTTAAGTGTTTCAAGCTCGGTTCACCTGATACTAGTATTTTGAGGACGATTATTTTGCACATTGTATTTTGATTCCAAAACCAACCGATATCTAGATGAATTAAAAAGGAAATTTTTTTAACTTTTGTTTTGAACCAAAACATAAACTTTTATATTACATTTTGGTTGCCTTCACAACTGAAACATAAAACAATAAAAAAGAGATAAAAAAATCACTATTATAAAATTTGTGAATAGACAACGCTCTTTTTTACTAGTAGACAATGCTTTGTTTATTAAAACGTTTATAAAACAGCATTATATAATATTTAATACACATAGCTTGTTTGTAAAAGTGTTGTCTATATGTGATTTAAATAGACAACACTTCTTACAAAACGTGTTCTCTGAGTATGAACTACACTTTAATATACAACAATTATTTGAAAAAATATTGTCTATTAATTCGATTTTTCTTTTATAATTTATTTAATTTTTCGTTTAACGTCCTGAGATTTCATAAATAACAATTGTTTAAAAAAATTATAAAATTAGGAAGAATATGAAACAAACAAAGATCACAAAAAGAATTTTTGGTGTATCACATCAGAACAATATTTTGAAATACATCAAAATAAACAAAACATAGGAAAATAGAAAACAATAAATGGCAAGGTTAATAGGTATAACTTTCTAACATGTTGCCAATAAGTCCTTATTTTTAACATGTTGATAGTCAGACATAGTTATATAGGTTGTACAATGCCATCAAAAAATGTAGTTTAAACCACTCATAATCTAGTGCTTATCATAACTTCATTGCTAAACTCACTAAGCCCAATGCATTTTTATAAAGCAATATCCAAGCATTAAAATGAAATGTATATATTCAAAATCAGCATGAGCAATGACATAATTTTATAGACAATATACAAACATAATATACTAACCTATAATAAGCATTTACTAATCCAATTTTTCCTAACTTCAATGATTTGATTCTAAATTTTGAAGATACCATATGCGTAATAAAAGTTCACAACTTAAATTAAAAAAAAAATACAATTTGTAAAAATGAAAGGACTAGTTAAATAAAATTTCAAAAGAAGCACAGAACCTAAAGAAGCATATTTCACTGCTCCTAAATGAGACTTTTAAAACTTCACTAATTTCAGAGCAATAAACTTAAGAGCCTTAGACCCATATGACAAGACTTTCCATTCATTTTATAGCTGTCACTAAAAACTATCATTGGTTAAGTCCAAAAGGTCTTTAACCACAACACCAAGACCATTACTTGGAGTGATATTTCTAAAAATGCATTCACTGTGTTGTTTATATGTGGACCATTGATAATCTGATTATGTTTCATTTACTATTTCATCACATAAGACAAAAGTAATCACAACATATATGCCCCTGCATAACATGTTTGGACTGCACCGAACAATAAGCAAAGTCTCTAGCTTCGACTATGTTGGGTTAGCGTGAAACGGAGAATAGAAAACCTAGATGCAAAAAAGAAAGAATAAAAGAATAACAGACAGAGAGAAAAATTATCTGAATAATACTTCGAGATTGAATTAATTTCAAAACGCAAAGACATGCTACAATATATAGTCAATCCAAACGACAGAAACAAACATAACAGAAAGACCAAGCGGTCATCAACAGTAGAGGTCCACTACAATAAAACATGGAATTACCGACGGCTTTTTATCGACGGACTTAGTTCCGTCGGTAAATGATGCATTACCGACGGCTTTTACCGACGGATGCAAAAAAATGTATTTTACCGACGGATATGGGCCTTAGGTAATTACCGACGGCCAAAAGCCTTCGGTAAAGCCTTCGGTAATTACCGACGGCCAAAAGCCTTCGGTAAAGCCTTCGATGAAAAGAGCGGCAAAATTACCGCCCATTTTTTCACTCTCTCTATACAAAGTTTATACATTTTTATCACTCACAAATCGCTTTCTCTGCTATATTTCTCACCTTTTCTCACCTTCTGCCACCATTTTTCTCTACTGTGCAACCATCTTCCCACACTGTCACCGGTGCCGCTGGGAGAACGCCACCGCAGCCTTTGGGAGGACGCGACCGCTGCCATGGGAGGACGTCGCCGCTGCTGTGGGAGGACGCCGCTGCTGCCATGGGAGAAGCGCCGCTGCCGTGGGTGAAGCGCCGCTGCCGTCGCTGGAGAGGACCACCGTTGCCATGGAAGAACACCACCGTGCAAGCTTCACTGACATTAGGGATTTTTTCAATTTTAGGGTTTCTAAAACAATTAAAGAACCAAAGTGTAGCCTCTGATTTTGGTTTTGGAATGAATAAAATTGTTGTTTTGGTTTAGGAATGAAGAAATTTGGGTAAAAAAAACTGAAAAACGAAGGATACAGGAGAAAGGAAAAGAGGAAGAAGATGAACCAGATCGACGTATTTACCGACGGACTTACCGAAGGCTTTTGGCCTTCGGTAATTACCGAAGGATTTTGGCCGTCGGTAAAGCCTTCGGTAAATACCGACGACCAAAAGCCGTCGGTAACTGTTACCGACAACGATATTACCGACGGTCATTTGTCCGTCGGAAAAATCGCATTACCGAAGGCTTTTGGCCGTTTCCGAAGGATTTTGGCCGTCGATAATAATTGTTTTTTTGGTTGTGGTCGAACATAGGCCGAGTACAACAAGGACCGAACAGCACAGCCAAAGTCAGAACCGAACAGCACAGCCAAAGTCAGAACCGAAAGCACACGACCGAACGGTCACAATGAGATCGAGCGATCAAAACAAAAAACGAGTAATAGAAGAGCCTAATCTACAAATCTCCACCTAGACTCGACTATTACAAGAAAGAACACACCGAACGGTACACAATTACAGACCGAACAATATAGAACCAATCCTGGATAAACACTTCAGAAACTTCTCTTTAGTGAGCGGCTTAGTCAGCATATCTGCAGGATTGTCTTCAGATGCAATTTTGCAGATTTGGACATCACCGGATTCCACAATGCTCCGGACAAAATGCAGTTTGACATCAATATGCTTTGTTCTAGAATGGTAAATCTGATGGTTGGCCAAATGTATGGCGCTCTGACTGTCACAATGAACCCGAACAGACTTTTGATCAATACCCAATTCCCGAATCAAGCTTTTTAACTAGAATGCCTCCTTTACCCCTTCAGAAAGAGCAACAACTGATTGCAATGTAGACTTTTAGCTCACAGCAATTCCGAACAATGTAAACACATCCCAAACGAGATTTCCTTGTGTCCATACACCCAACAAAGTCTGAATCAACAAAACCTTCAATATAACCTCCACCTTGAAAGTTATTTTGGAAGAGTAATCCAGTATCAAAAGACCCCCTTATGTATCAAGCATCAACTTCAACGCTTCTCAGTGGATTTGTCCAAGATCAACCATAAATCGACTGAGAACACTTACTCTATGCGTCAGGTCATGTCTAGTGCAAACCATGCCATACATTACATGATGCTCCTAATCCCATTAGAAAACGAAACTGACCCCATCTTCCTCCTCTCATTATCGATCTTCGGGCATTGCTTTTTGGTGAGTTTCAAGTGTTGACCGATCGGTGTGCCAACAGGTTTGGATTGAGACATCCGATACCTTGAAATCACCTTCTGCAAGTAATTCTTTTGAGATAAAAACCAAGTTCCCCCCAGTTTATCTCTCCTTATATTAATGCCCAAGATTCGCCTTGCTTCCCCTAACTCCTTCATCTCGAAAGCACCACTCAATTTTGTTCTCAACTCATGAATCATGCACCCGTCACGGTTGGCAATGAGAATATCATCCACGTATAGAAGATTGATAACTTTTTGGCAAGTATACCAATTTTTTACAAGAATTATAGTGAATAAGTAAATTATTGTTCTCCCAAGGGAATTTGAGTCACGTTATTCTTTCAAGATTATTTATCAAAATCAATTATTGATGATAACGTTTTGATTTCAATTTGTGAAAATGACACAAAATTAACAATGTAAAAATTCAAGATTGTAAAATTGGAATAAAGATCACTGGAATCGGTCTTTGATTAACATTACAGTAACATCCTGAACAAAATACGTTCTCTATTCAAGNATTTCTCTTTCATCTCTCTCACTTTAATACATTAGTCCCAACTCAAAAAATCAGAAACACTCACCTAACCCTAATCCACCTTCCTCACTTATCCAATTTCTTTCTCTCTTATCTTCGTCCTTTCTCTCACCCACACATAGTAACCCGTGACACTGCAATTTGTGACTCTTGCTCTTTTCGTTCATTTGTTTTACACTTTAATAACAAAATAATTGATGATGTTGATGTTGATTTTTGATGCAGGGTTGTGTTATATTTTTTCTCTTTTGATAGTTATTAAATTTCGTTTTTAAATTTTAGAATTAGTAGTTTATCTTTAGGGAGATTTGATATTTTGACTATTAAGTTGTCCGAAAATATTTTCTAGAAGAGAAAAACTGTTATGGGAAAATGGGATTCCGGAAGGGGTAAGTCATTGTCTAAAAATTGAATTTCTGAAGTCAGCTCTTAAAAATAATTCTAAAAACATATTTTCCGCTGAAAACAACCTTCATGCATATAACCAACGTCAAAACACATAAAAAATGAAGCTTTTGCCCATTGTACTAAATGATTTAACGGAAACAAATTATTGAAGAGAGTTATCAACAAAGAAAATTGTTGTTGTTGACAATGTCTCCTTATTCATAAAAGAGACCAGCTAGTTCCCTTTCGAATGTAATTCTAACAAATTACTAGGGGTGGGCAAATAGAACTGAACTGCACTGTATTACTAAAATCTGTATTGAACTAAAACCTAATTTGTCTAAACTGAACTCAGCTATAAAACAGTTCAGACAAACTGAACTGTTTTTTGTTTTATCAAACTGGACTGAACTGAACTATACTAAATTGTACTAAACTACAATATAAACTAAGCTGAACTACTAACTATACTAATTTTAAACTGAATTATACTAATTTTAAACTGAATTGTATTAGTTTTTAAACTGAATTGTACTAGTTTTTAAACTGAATTATACTAGTTTTTAAACTGAATAGTATAACAATACATGTTCTTTTTAATTGAAATTTATTTTAATATTTATTTTATTTTATTCATAAGTGTCTTACAAATTAACTTTTTAATTATTTGATATTATTATTTTCTATTTTATTTATATTTCTTTTATTATTATATGTATATGGAAATTATTTTATTATTTATTTATTTATTTTATTTTATTTTTTATTTTTTATTTATATTTATTTTGTCATGAATATTATTTTACTTTTATATTTATTTTTTTAATTTTTTATTTATATTTTTTTGTTTTATATGTGTATATAATTTATTTTATCTTTTTATCTACTTATTTTATTTTAAAATAATTTTTTTTTATATTTATTTTGTTCCCTCGTAAAATTGTTTTATTAATCAATTATTTATTATTTATATTTTATTATGTAAAAATTAAACTAATATTTATTAATTATTATAATATAATAAAAGATGATACTAGAAAAATTACTCTTCATAAACTTTGTTAATTTTTTTGTCATTTGATATTTCTATAATATTAATTATGTTTGCTACATTACTATTTTTTTTATGATATTTCATTATATATTCATTTAATAAAATTTAATGTTAAAAAATATATTTTAGTTTTAGTATGTAAAATACTATTATTTAAAAATAATAATATTGATATTTATTTTAAAGTAAGTTGATTTTTAAAATAAATAGTTATTTTAGTGTGTGCGCTTACACACATTTTAATATCATTAAAAGTTTTTTTAACATATTTTTACATATTTAATAATATGTTAAAGAATATAATATATTTAAAGTATTATTTTTTTTACATAGTCTTTTTTTTATGATTTATATTACTTAATCATTTACTAAAATTAAATTTAAAAAATATATTTTACTTTTATTACTTAAAATAATATTATTTAAAAAGTAATATATGTTTATTGATAAAAAAAATATAAAAATTTGTGATAAAAAAATTTTGTCTTAAAAAATTCATTATTAATTTTTTATTTGAACGGTTTCTTTTATTAATATTTTATTATTAAATAACGTTCTCTTAGCAAGACGGTGCAATTGAACGGGAACTAGAGAAAAGAAAAGAGTAGATACAGTTCTCACAGTTAACTGAACCGAAACTATTATAAGTTCAGTTTTTAAAAACTAAACCATAAAATAGTATACTGAACTTTTAGTAAAAGTGGATCAGTTTTTTTAAGTATAATATAGTATAGTTAACTATAGTACAGTACAGATCAGTTACTCCCAGCCCTACAAATCACACATCTTCTAGATTTGAATATTGAGTAGTTTCCAAGAAGAACTGCATTGATATACTAACTAATTAAAAATCAACCAAAAATTATTAAATTAGTCATAATGAACCTGTTGGCTCTTAGTTGGACCAGAAAATTACTTTCCAAAGTAAATCATGTAATGCCCCAAATTTTAGGATGCCACGGGTTTATAAAAACTTTTTAATACTTAACTCTCATACCATTGCGAGATAGAGTTTAAATAAAAACTTCCATTTATTATAACTTTGAAAACTTCCGAAATCAAATGCAAGTATAAATCATTCATAGAATTCTATTACAAAACTATTAACATTGAACTTAAAATGTCATAGTTCTCCCAAGTACGATCATTGTAGGTGGAAACCATCACCACAAATGCAAGGGTGAGCTAACAGAATCAACATCAAAAACACAAATAACGATGTAATTATAATAATACGATTATAAAATAACCTCTAAACTCATAACACCCATACGTAAATCAAGTTCACAACACAATAAAACCTTGTTAATCTAACTCCCACTCAGACAAACCATGCCACCACTTCACAAGCACTATCACCACATGTCTTCTTTCGTACTCAAGCAACCACAACCTGTTCACCTAAACAGGGCCTACACACCAACGCAGGACTTTCCGGTTCACCAAAATAGGGCCTACGCACCAACGTAAGACTTTTCGGTTCACCAAAATCGAGCCTACGCACCAACGCAGAACTTTCCGATTCACCAAAATCGACCCTACGCACCAATGCAAGACTTTTCGATTCACTAAAGTCGGGCCTATGCACCAACGTAGGACTTCCTCGTGTCATCAATCATTGAGTACGTAAGAAAACAAATAATTCACAGTCACCTACTAGCATGACTTATCGAACAACCCTTATGGAAAACAACTCAACCCACTCATGTTCCACTCGTCACATAATCCAATTAACTTAGTAACTACACCATGCAAGAATAACAGTACTAATCATGCATTTAACCACTACAACCCACCATATAATTATCTCTACAACCAACACACGTCGTGGTACATAGGCTCACAATATTGCAAACATCACCGATTTCATGGAGACACTTTCAAAACACACATCAAGTATCTAACAACACCATACATCTGGAAACATCATAACATATAAAAAAATACAACTTCTTACAAAAGATCATGATACCATATAAAACACTATGACTTCAAGTCCAAAGTATCAATTAAAAATACACAAGTCACATAGTAAATATCAGCTACTTTTACCTAATAAAATACTCATTTATAACTACTTCTACACACTAGTAGAAAAAGTGCAATTTAACGCGCCATATACGCATCGGTTAAGTAAAACTCGAAGCGTAAAAGACTATATACCTCGGTTATATCTAGACCCGAGGCAGAATGATGATATTGCCTCGGTTAAAAGAAGACCCGAAACCTATACGGTGATATTGCCTCGGTTAAATAAGACCCGAAGCCTATACTGCGCGTAAAAAGACCCTATTGCCTCGGGTTGAGAGAGGACCGTTGCCTATTCACGTTTTGATTTTTAATTTGCACATTCTTACATTTGCAGAGCGTGTGCTTCTTTCTCGGGCTCTCTCTCTTCCCCTCCCTCCGCGCTCTCCCTCTTCCCCTCCGCGCTCTCCCTTTTCCCCTCCGCGCTCTCCCTCTTCCTCTCCGCGCTCTCCCTCTTCCCCTCCGCGCTCTCCCTCTTCCCCTCCGCCCTCTCCCTCTTCCCCTCCGCGCTCTCCCTCTTCCCCTCCGCGCTCTAGCCTCCGCCGCTGCTGCTATCGCTACTGCCGCCGCTGCCTCCTCCAGATCTACCGCTCCAGATCGCCAAGCCTAAATCACCAAGCCGCTCCAGATCCGCTTCAGATCCGCTCCAGATCTGCTCCACAACGTCACCGCCGGTGCCTTCCCGCTGCGTCCACAACGTCACTGCCACTGCCGCCATCGTCGCGTGGTCTTCCTGCTGCCGCTGCCTCCCCGCTGGGTTCTTGCTGCACCGCCGTGGCGCGTTGTCTCTGTTGCCGCAGTTGCTCCCACGCTCCCACGGTCCTGGTCATCGCGGCAGTGGTCATCGCAGCAGTGGTCCTGTGGCTTGGTAAGTGAAAATTTTTTGGATCTTGTCTTGGTGTTCTTTCTGGATCCAGAGAGATTGGAAACACCATTTTGGATCTGTCAATCTCGTTCTTGATCTTCTAACATGCATATTTTTGTTGTTCAATTTTTCAGTTATGGACTCTTGGACTTCAAAGGAGGGGGAACATAGATTCATCATCCAGCTTTGACTCTGTTCTGAATTGGGTTTTTTGGTCTCTTTTGCAGATGAAACATGTTACAAAAAAATGATGAGGGTTCTGTTTAATCTTGTGTGAATTGTTTCAAAATGGTGGAAGAGTGTAGCAGGATAAAAAAAAAAAAAGCTTACGACATCGGTTATAATGAAACGAGACGTAATCGTATCCTTTACGCCGCGGTTCATAATCGAGGCATAAAATGTACACTTTTAACCTCGTCTGAATATGCACCGGTTGTAGAACCGGTGCCTATAAACAAAAGCAACCGGTGCCAATTTGTGTTACTGTACTAGTGT